TCGACGTTTCTCGTTCCCGCATGCCCCCTCCCGCCCTCCCCACAACGTATCGTTTCATTCCGATGCCCTTAACTTAGATTCTGATTACTCACCACTTTGTTCGGGCCGAAAATTATATATTTTTCTCAATTTCTAACACGCTGCGACCGCACACACTATGTGCTCACCGCTAAACACGATTATCGCTATTATCATGTATGTATGTACATTCGCATCATATACATTTATTGATCTTTTATAACAATTATTGGAACTATTCAGCAGTTTAATTCCACCTTGATCCTTAAGTGTTCGATAAATATCCAATATAATTTTTCGACATCTACCAATATAAGACTTTTGGGTGACTGTGGGCTTTATGTTTTTCCCTGCTGCTCTGATTGCTTTTCTTTTTAGTATGACATTCCTCTCTTACGAAGCTGGAAATTTCAAGTCTCAAAATATGTTCCCGCTTCGTGGCAGTGTTGCCGAGTTGCCTCTTGAACAATTCTATAATTTTTTAATCAATTAAGTCACCGACTTGCGGTTTGCGCTGAAATTCTTTAACAATTGTGAACATTCATTTGATGTTTAGTTTTTTGATGAGGCGTAACATATAAATCCATGATAATTATCTTTTTTCTGTACAATATCACTTGTTTTTAAATACCCAAGACGGTCATTTTTTAATTTTTTAAAAAAAAAACGTTCAATCGATTACTCGTTTTATATCGTACCTGTAGACTTATTATACCTCACAGAGAAACGATTGGTTAGAAGTGGACCGCTAATAATGCGGTTCTGTGTTCAGTTGACGCACGACCGCACCGCCGATATATCGACGGTGAAACTACCAAACCACGTATCTCGTTTGCGGTGTTTAAAAATCTACGCTCACATTTTATTTTTTTGAAGTAGACCAAATCAATATCATTCCTCGCAATTTTCACAGAATTTTCTTCGCACGAAGAAGAAAAATCACAGAAATTTTCTAGACCGGACGTTAACTAGTTTTTCATTTAAAAAATAAAGTATGACAGGAAATCTGCGACGTCGCAAACCGAGATACGTGGTTTGGTAGTTTCACCGTCGATATGCGGTATGCGGTTTAGTGTTTCCGTTTTCGGTTTACCCTATGTTCCGCATGTCCGCACTTAAGAAACTTGGTGGAACGTGCTGAGTGTAGTACCTTTAAGGCTAACAATCCTCTGTGTATATTGAGAGCTCTGGATGAGTGTCCTCATGAAAATCCAAAGAGATAACGTAGGACCACGCCATAGCGGTTCTGCGTTCAAAATTTTATCAAACGCATTTTAATAAACGAACTTCAATAAATAAATACATTTTTGATGAAAATTATCCGGAAAGTTCAAAACAAAAATAGCGAAAGTTTCGCTGAAAAAGCGTGTTTTATTGAAGGCAACTGGCCATCGGCCAATGCCCACGGTGCTCTTCGTCAGTTCAGCATTTCAGGGAGAAGCGTATTGTCTGTTAAAAACTCGGTCTACCTAAATTCTTCATCTACCGGACGAAGAAACGTAACTCCTTTCTAAGGTTGCCAAGTTGACTCAAACAATCAATTAATTCTACAAAAATGAACCTGTGCAATTTTCATCCAAAACTTTTCTGATTTTTGCACGAAATTTGTGGGAAAATCGGTGAAATTTTCAGTTAGAAATTCCCAAAATTCTCTTGGTATATATGTAAATTACGAGGGGAAATTTGGCAAAATTTCAATGGAGTTACGTTTTTTTTGACGGAAACGACGAATTGCCTGCACTGAAATGTTTTCCTCCGACAGATTAGGTCATTTTATTAGAACACGACACTTTTATTGAACTCACCACCGGAGGAAAATTAAAAAATCATAAGATTATCTACCCGCCTGTTTCTTTTGTTTCTCTTTGAAAGAAGCAAATGAAATGGAGCAAAAATTATTTCCGGGCCGTGGCAGGAAGTTAGTGGCTTATTAGTAAGTCTAAAGTTAAAAAATTTCAAAGCCCTCCACTTATCTCCTAGCTCTCTTCCTTTTGAAGCAGTGCCTAAAAGAGACGAGGGTAAAGTTTAAGAGGATTTCATTTCAACGTGTTTAACATCTGGATGGACAATTATATTTGGTCGCAGGGAAGCACTTGGCTCAGAGGCGGTGCGGTGGAGAGGGCTCCAGAAATTCTCAGCGGATATTTTCAAGGGGGAGCATAAAAAATACTTACCTCGTAAATGCATGCACGATTTAATAATGTTTCTTTATTTGCGGGGAAACGCGGAGTAAAATTGCAGGCGTCCCTCTCTTCCACTCTTTCCCTTTTACCCTGTCTCATTTCCGACGTTGCCGTTTGGTGTATCATCTTATACATTATCCCTCATGGCAAAATTCTTCGGAAGATAACTACGTATCGCGATAAGTTGCGATTTGATCGGAGAACGCACCGCGATTATATCGACGTCGATTTATTGTTATATTATCGGATAAACAATTGCGATTTTGTCGCTTAAATTTGCAATGAAATCGCATTTTTTCGACGGCGATTTATCGCAATACTATCGAACGAAAAATCGGAATAAATCGAGGTATAATTTAAATTTTAACGAACGCGATTTTATAGAGATAAAATGTCGACAAGGCCGAGGGTAATCACTAAGATATTGATGACTCCATCGATTTTATCGCCAAAAAATCGTAAAAAAAAATCGCAACTTAAGTTCAAAATATGGCAATTTTTCCGTTGTAATATGCTACTTGGGGGATAGAATGTTTTTATCATTTCTTCCTATCATATTCTACGTAAAATTTTGATGAAGAATAGTGACTCTCACTTTCAAATCCCGCCCATTGGTCAATTCATTGTGGTCGAAAACAGTGGGGTGGCGTGAATGATCGATTATCGATATTTCCCCATTTGAATTCGTGGTAAAGAATCGATTATTGAGGTGTTCGCTGCGAACACCCTGTTAATTGATCATTTTCCATAGGTTTAAATGATAGATTAATCGATTTGTCGCAAAGCACGCCACGCCACTGGTCGGAATGGGTCAATTATTGCGCAACCCACAGAATCGCATTCTGGTGATTCAAGCTTACGCAGTAAAAAATATTAAGATCTGTACGAGCACCAATTTTCTACGTCCAATATGAACGGAGATATCGCTCATTCAGAAACACGGCGTATGACGTCATCCACCAGTGCATACCGTGGCTCCTTTCACCTTGGTTTCTTGAATCGGTGATACATCTGGACGTATTTATGCTAAAAAGAACTATGTGCATAGAGTTTGCGTGCAACATAATTCCTTATAGCATAAATACGTCCATCTAACAAAGATATGATACACCCATATGCATTGGTTTCTTGATGTAAAACACGGATGAAACCATCGAAGTGGGAGAAACCACGGTATACACTGCCGCGGTGGATGACGTCATACACAATAAGTTTTTCAATTAGCTATATCTCCGTTAATCTTAGACGCAGAAACTTGACGTTTGAACTGATCTTATCACCTTTTGCTGACCTATAAGCTTAAACCAGCAGAATATGATTCTGTGACCAGCTCAGTGGAGAACTTGCACACAAACATTTTATTGCTTCATCTGAGAGTGCCTAATGAGCTAAGTGCATAGTATTTTCAATAATTTTTTTTTTGACATGGGAAATTGGAGATAATTAGATTTAAAAGTGAGAAAATGTGCCGCCTTATGACGTCATCTGGCGGCATTTTCCATTTAAAACATGTATTTTAGCAGATTAGGTTATTTTGTCATAATTTCTCCAATAACTCTTTTTTATAGAAACCAAGGATATCCTCGTGCTCAGTTTTCCTAGCATTATCATTTTGAAGATGAAATTCACAAAATTTGAGACACCTGCAAATTCTCTATTGACCCATTTTTATGTAGAATTCGGCAACGCTTTTTCACCTACTGGCCCTCTCCTCATTTTCCTCACTTCCTCCCCTCCGGGTTGCTTTGATAAAAATGCACTTTACGGACTCGAATTCGAACCTTTAATTCGCGTATTATTCATAACCTCGGCGCCCACTCGCGAGCAATCCAAGACAAAAATGAAATTGTTGCGTCATTTACATTTCATGAGCAGCCGGTATTCATGCGCCGTCCGCGGGATCTGCTCCCTCTAATTAATGCCCTCCTTTCAGTTTCACTTTTGTCAACATTATTAATTCTTTATTTCGTTTATCGTTTTTGTGCTCGGCTCGAGGATGTGGCGGTATTCTCATCAATATTCATAATTTCTAGCAGCCGCGCTCATCAGCACTTAAATGTCAAAACCGCACATGTCCTTTATCCGACGAGCCCCGGGATATATGTATCCTTGCGGATCTAAAGCCTCGTGTCAGGTCGTGTCATGTTGTTTCAACATCATACCGGTATGCCTATCTATTCCTCCGCGTTTTCATAAATACTCGCCCCTACGTGTACATTCCCTTACCTGTTGGAAAAACTTCCGAGATAGCGTTCTACTTTCGAGCGTTTCCGTTGCTGCAATCCCTTTCAGGGCATGTTTGTAAATGCGCGTGGAGGAGGAAGAATCAGGGCGTAATGCCTAACCATACTGTCGTGATGCGTCCATTCGGACGTGGATTGTTGTTAGCACGTTGACGATGAAACGGCAAATACGCGTATCTCTGCGGTGTTTCAGTATCTCGGCTCTCATTTTATTTTATCTAAGGGGAAGGAACCAACAGTATCGCTTGAAATTTTCACAAAATGTCATTCATACGAGGCAAAATAATCAGGAACGTTTCCAAGAAATGATTTTCCTACCTATAATATTCGATAATGATAGGAAATCTACAGCGTTGCACACGGAGACGCGCGTTTTTCAAGTTTCATCGCCGCGCGGCGTGCTCTTAAGCGTCTCAAAGCTTTTACCCGGATGGAGTTACTCCGCCGTACTGGAGGAAGAACGCCGCATGAGCCCTCGGACGTTGCCAAATTTCTTAGGTGAAGGACGAATTTCCTGTAGAATTTGTAAATATTTTCCTTCCAATTTTTCATAAGCTATATTCAAAATTTTATCTAAAGTAGCTGCAAATTTCAAAGGAAAACGTCTGTAACCGTCGTCATAAATACGTATTTTATTGAGGGAAATTTGGCAACATTCGAATGTTCGCACGGCGTTTTTTCTCAGCACAGCAGACTGGCGCAACCCTTATTCCCCAATTTTTTCCCTCCAAGTTTAAAGTTTGGGAAAATCGCGAATGGAGTGAGAACAAGCCTCTTCTTTCACACTGTGTCAATGTGTCATAGACCGTAAACAATTTAGTAAATTTTGAAGAAAAAGGTGTATGTTACTTTTCCGAGGTCTACTTTCTAAATTGCTCCCTAGCTGCATCTTTTTCTAGACAAGACCTGATGTTTCCTGATACTGAATTATTTTTCATTATTATTTCTTGCATTTTTTATTATTTATGTATTCCTTTTTTCTTACAGAGAGAATAACAACCCCTCGGCGATTCGTCACGAGACCGTATCGTGTACCCTCCACTTCACCTGGTAAGCTTCAATTCAAATATTATTGTAGGGTTATAGAACATTTCGTTAAAGATTTTTTGTCCTTTCACCTGTTTTTTCCAGTGGTTTGCGTCCACGCGTTTTTTCGGCACGGTAGTTTTAGTCCACGTAACAATTGAGACCTAATTTGAGAATAATATATAATCGAGATTTTTAGTAAAAATGGGGGAACGTCAATTCCACGTGGGAAAATTCACTAAAACTCTCTACACCTCTTTGGTGCAACAGGACTCAATTGTCTTTCAAGAAATTTCCGAAGTGACTTGATTCGAGTAGAAACATGCTCAAATTTACCGCCGAGAAGATTTCCTTATGAATCGATAAAAGAAAAATAATGCTTGTTCATAATAAAATCTTCTTGGCGGCATACTCGAGAATATTTCTGCCTAAATCGAGTCACTTTTTTTCTCTGATGAAATTCAGAAATTATGCTAAACGTCATTAAATACAGATACAAGAACTTAGTGAGTTTCTGAACTACCGCTCTCTGTTTGTGCCGAAGAATCTCGATTTATTTTGCGAGGAAAGCTCCGCACTCATAAAGGATGCCTGTCATTCTTGATACATTGGAGCGACTTCAATTTCGTATGATACTGTGTAACACCTCTGTTGGGAAATAGTTGCTTGAAGTGCCGCGCCGCGCGGCGCGGCGGAAGAGGGCGACCAGCGCAACACGCATTGGCGCCTACAAACCTAACTGGGATACTTCACGCATTGCGCAGTGCGTGAAGTATCTTGTTAGGTTTGTAGGCGCCAGTACGCATGTCGCGCTGGCAGCACGCCGCGCCGCCGCTCCGATCTGTGTTCGGCTCTTATATTTAAACTCGCGGAGTCAACTCATGATTTTGAATTGTTTGAATATCCTGCGTGAGTTATTCTCATTTAAATTGATGAAAAAAAATATGTATTAAAGGAAAATATAATATGTGTTTTGTAAATATTAAGGTGGTTCCGTGTCAAATTTAATGATTTCCAAAGCACTTTAATTTTTTTTCTTATATTTTGTGCTTTTATTGTGCTACAGCGTTATTTACGCGCAACCAAACGCTCAAAATTAAGCGTATTTGACCCTAAAAGATCGATGTACAGATGAATTAAATCCTAAGATTGCGTGCTTGTAGGTTTTTTTTAGTGTATTTTCCGTATTGCATTTTCCCATGATGTCGGACCTAATTCGATTGTTCACGTCTTCTGTAATTGGCTGCGACTTATTACTGACCTACTGACCTTACTGAACGGCTAATGCGGCAAAGTCGTTTCGTGAATACTTCAGGAAAACAATTCTTAGCGCGCATTCCATCACATTCGTTTTTATTTGCGGAAGTTCCCGATCAAAAATGTACAATAATCAACGGCCAGTTCAGAACCCGATGCAGTAGGACCCAAAGCTTGAAGGGACAATCTCCTAGGCTACTAATTGCTTCAGAGTCATCGAACTGGAGCACCAGTGCACCAGGTTTATAAAAAACGGCTGTCAAATTATTACTCGCGTAAAATCCCAGGTGAGGCGTAGACAAAAATCCTTATTTTCGCTTTTGGGAGTTTTACGTATTTAACTAGCTATTTCTGCTAAATCATTCCTGAAAAACCTCAAATGCCGAAAGTACCGGGGCATAAATATTCATCGTTCGGTGTTCCTATTAACTTAAAATATTTCGGACTAGGGTTTCTTAAAACAGATTATTCCGGAATCATGACTGAATGCTTTTAAATTTTATGCCTTTGGTTTTTGCTAAAATTTATAAGTGAAACCAATAAATAGGTATTTTAGCAAAATTTTTTTAAAATCTCGTTATTTGTTGACCTCTGGTATAGATTTACCTAATGTTACTTGAACTGAAAACTTCCGTAATCTACGTAATTCTAAGATCAGTTAGCTCATCAAAACCAAAGAATTTCCTCGAGTAGGGTCTCCGCGACTTTTCCTCTCTTTTGGCAAATCGCATCAGACCCCTGAACGAAGATTTCAACCAAAAGCGTCCGGATGGCGAACTTCAGAGAGCACGCAATACGTCTCTGCCCCGATCCCCGGCAGTGTCATCATCAGTGCATCGTACCAACTTCCCGAACAAACTAGCTCCTATCTACCTAAGACGGACTGTTTCTCTTTTGTCCCTAAACTTCGCTCATTATCTCGCGAGCGCTTCATCTTTTTCTGTCTTTGCTATGCACTTTGCAACGTACACAAACATATTTAACGCGCTCGACTGTGGACAGAGCTTCCGAAGTTGCCATAGTTTGAATTATTGATGGCTGGATACACACAGCGCTCCCTTCCGGTCGAAAGTTTAGGTGGACAACTTAATGGCAACGCCGGTGACAGAGAGTCCGCCAGGGAGGTAGGGCCGCCGAATTAACCAACTTCCCGGAGTCATAAGCGAAAACGATAGCGCTCAGTGTTGCCGAATTTACTCGCCGGACCACCGAACTTAGTAAGAGCTTGATTTACACAATGAATTTATTTTCATCAAAATTTTCTATACCTAGAACATTATAAATAACTTTTTAAATCAGTTCAAAAGTGAGAATGTACTTTTAATTGTTTATGTTAGTATCGGTAATTGAGACTTTTTGCCAGTGAAAAGAAAGAAAAGGAAACAAATAGCCAGTATTAGCGTGGATCAACTAGTCGTTAGAAGATAAACTTGTGTGTTGAAAATATTAATGAAAGCCGGTCTTAAAAAGTATTCCCCTCCTCTGGTATAAGTCATCCTGGAACTATTCCAGAATGCAGAAAAATTCCAAAATAATTGCGAACGTAGAGAAAATTGTTCTGTCCCTAAGCAAGCCGGTCCTTAATTTCTCGAAGGTAGAATTACGGCAAACGAAGCGGCAAGCGGTGCCATATACCCCGGATTTCACACCGGATCGATGTATATATTGCCTATCTCCTAATGGACCACTAGACAAGGTACGAATTTAAGCATTCTGATACATGTACCAGAATTTCGCGTAGAGCACGATTTGCGCAACGAAAACTAATGAAACAAACTCCAGACGAAGATATTAACGTCTTTATCTCACATTGGTTACGAGGAATTTGAACTGCCCGCTGACAAGAAACTCAAAACACTACGTGAGTCAAATCGCACACTACAACGGTTTCAGCAAGCTTCTCAATCGAGTAATGTTCATTTTCCACCATGTGTTGTTCAAACTATAAGCAATTTGCTATAGCTGAGCCAAAGCGTCAAGATTGAGGTTACCAGATTTATTCATCGCAGAGACGTTCATAATAACGTTTAGCGCGCGATGTGAATCTCTTAGAGCATTGAGTTTTCATGAGCGGGTGGTTTAAATTCACGCACCAAGAATCATTAAATATCTTTGGAAGGAGTTAATTTCGGTAATTTTCGTTGTGCGCATCGTGTTTTACGTAAAATTTGGGTTCAGAAACATGTATCAGAATGTTGAAATTCGTACCTTGTCTAGTAGTCCATTGAAGGGATTCCTATCGTTGCAATAAAATTGATATAATCTGTAATTTTTCCTTGCGTTGCTAATTATCTATCATTCTGTGAATCGGAACTCATCTCATTGGTACTTGAAAACTACAGTACCTGTATAGCGAGAGTATAGGCAGGTGTGAAACTCCGAAAATCCATTAGGCCTTTACCGATGCCTCCGCGAATAAAGTTAGGGCCCAGAAATGCAACCAACCTATGAATTTCAATTATCCAGAGCGCTTTACTAATACATTTGCTACGAACCATCGTTTATTAAGCACGTATTTGACTTAGTTTTTGCATAAATTTACTCTTTTTTGCAGAAGAACGCTCATTTATACACATTCCTAGCCATCTTGGTTAGAATTGGAATCTGCAGACTGACAGTGAAATTTTGTGCGTTAGAAGTTGGTTAGAAGGGTGGCTGCACTTTTAGGCCCTAAGCCCTCCATGAGGCGATCTGTCCATACTCTCGCTATATAGGTACTCTATTGAAAACCGAAATGTATCGATCAAATGAAGTAAAAATATTGCCGATTGTCAAATCAGCAATTTAATTTTTTCCGTATAGCAATAATTTCACCGTGCAATCGCAGTTTGTTGCATGGGTTATTGCGGCGCTTTAATCCGTGCCCTATCCAGTGGTCTACCGTGCGCAAAAACGGCAAGACTGTCAGCGGTCATAGCTCCGAAGTTGTGTATAGGGGTTGCGGGGAGGCGGAGGGACAAAGGGACGAAGTTCCAGCTTTGCCCGAGCGGAGGGAGTAATGGAAGATGATTTCCGTCCAACTTTGTTGGTTAAGAAAGTTAAGTGAATAATTATGATTGGACGGATTGCAATGACTACCTGGGCGCAGGGCGCTCCGCCGCTTCATGGGAGGAGCTTTTGATACGAATGAAATGAGCCACGGAGTCGGCTCATCCGGCTCATGACTCATGAGTGGCTCAATTTGAGGTTTATTACCTTCCAGCGGCTTCCAGAGCCGAATTAGAAAGCCTGGCGACCATTTCGCGATCACCGCTCAATGGTAACATCGCATATGATGTTAACTCCAAACCACGTATCCTCTCCGCCACACTGGAAAAAGAAACACATTGGATCTAGAGTCCAGACTCTTGAAAACATTGACAAGAAAAAATACTCTTGATTCAATCGGATTTTTGCTTGAATCAAAACGAAATCCGCTTAAATTAAGAGGCTTGGTTCTTGATTTAAGCTAAATTCTGATCGAATCAAGAGTACTTTTTCTTGTCGATGTTTTTAAGAGTCTGGACTCTAGATCCAATGTGTTTTTTTTTTCCAGTGCAGTGGCGAGGCGTGAACGATCGATTATCGATATATCCTCATTTGAAGCTGTGCTAAATAATCGATTATTAAGGTATTCGTTTCGAACACCCCGTTCATCGATCCTTTTCCTTAGTTTTAAATGGCAGATCAGTCGATATATCGCAAAGCACGCCATCCCACTGCTTCCGCACATTCTCCAGTTCTCCACATATGATCGGACCAGGCAGTGGAGCCCTATAGAACACTTAAACCTATGAAAAAGGATCGATGAACAGAATGTTCGCCACGAACACCTCAAAAATTGATTCTTTACCCCATCTTCAATTTCGGAAATATTGATAATCGATAATTCACGCCTTGCCTCAGTGTGCATAGCACATACCATATGATGCAATGCCTTCCAATTCCTGACTTTTCCCCGTTGAGTAATAATTTATTTGTTTGTGCTTGTTTCAGCTGCTTTAGAGAAGAAGATGAAGGAATCCTCTTACGAGTCTAGTCAAAACTCAATCAGCAACCAAAAAGGGAACATGAACCTGAAAATGAAGGCCACGAGCTCTTGCGCAAGCCTTTTTCAGTTCAGCTCTTTATTAGTCCTAATTACTCCCGTCCTGCGTTTTTGGTACAGTTGACAATCACTGTCCTTCTGTATGTAAATAAACCACCATGACAAAGTGATCACAACTGTTGAGGCGACAAGATGGAAGTCTCCTTCAAATTTCTCGTGGTAAGTTTCCAGATTTAGTTTGCTTGCAATTTTTCATAGCGAGAGACCAGTGGCGTGACGTGATTTGCGATATATCGCTTGCTCTGCCGTTTAAACTTATGGAATAGGATCGATGATCAGGGTGTTCGCAGCGGACACCTTAATAATCGATTTTTTACTATAGCTATGTTTGGGGAGATATCGATAATCGATCATTTACGCCACGCTACTGCGAGAGACATGTGCGGGTGGCGTGATTGTTAGACACGGATCGACCGACCGAAAGGTTGATCGACGAATTTTTGAGCTAACATGATGGTTCAAGGAAAATTGGACCCTGAATAGTAGAACGATTCAAAACGGAGCTATTTACATAACCGCTTTACGAAAGTTGTGCGATTAGGTATTATTTTCGGCCCGATGAATTCCTGAAAATGTCAAACCAATTACTTGATCGTGGCGGTTTGAAGTTCGCAGCTCAAACAAAATAGTTCTGAGTTTGAAGTATTTAACGTTTTAACATGCTACACTGGAAAAAAAACACTGGGCACACTGGAACACTGGATCTAGAGTCCAGACTCTTAAAAACATCGACAAGAAAAAATACTCTTGATTCAATCAGATTTTTGCTTAAATCAAGAACCAAGCCTCTTTATTTGAGCGGATTTCCTTTTGATTTTAGCTTAAATCTGATTGAATCAAGAGTTTTTTTCTTGTCAATGTTTTCAAGAGTCTGGACTCTAGATCCAATGTGTTTTTTTTTTCCCAGTGTATGCCTGTGGCTCAATATAATCGGATGATACAACATCCTCTCAGCCTTGATCTACAGAAAAATGAGTCCGAAATCTCCTTTTTTTTAAAAAAAAAAAATCCCACATATTTATAATATTTAAATTTAAATTTTTCAACAAAAATCACTCCGCTGAGAAATTTATTCCTGATCACTAGAGCGCCTTTTTCTCGTGACCACTCGCATGTACAGCTCTGAAGAGTCTTGATCAGTACATCTGAGTTTTCGTTATCAAAAAAGAGTTATGTCAATTATTACTACCTACGTAACAAGGTGGTAAAATATATCTGGGTCCACTCTATTTTGCGAGGAAAACAAGGCCAACAAGTTCAGAAATGTCTATCAGAGAAATACATTTTGAGCTACCAGCACAAAACTGCTGGAGGAGAGAGTTCAGCTCAGGCAGCTCGTATTTGAGTATTCAGTCGAGGTCACGCCGAAAGATTTATAACGTTTTGAGTCATATTAGACCTCATCAGTAGATCATATTTGCCAGTGAGCCCAGCTTAGCATCCCGCAACATCCAAACGGCATCGAAAGTCAAAACGCCTTCATGAATATGACGCGAGGCATGACACAAAATTTCGATCTTCGCGCCATCTACAACCGACGCGTCGCTGCTGAAATGCTCTCTGGAAAAGACCGACCACCCCCCCCCCCTTTTATATCACTATTTAAGTAGGCGTGTAGAAATTCTCGTTGGAGCCAATTTGAACTAAAAACAACCGAACTGAGTGAGACGTTCTCACTTTGAGGAAGTGGTCCAATCTACGAAAAATGCTTGTGCCACCCTGGTAAAAATTGGCAGTAGAATCTCTGTTCCAAAATACCATAGACCTACAGCCGGCTGTAAGATTTCCAATAGCCTCTATAGCCGGCAACACGATTTCTTATAGCCTTTTATAGCCGATGGCGATATCGATTAAGCAACAGCCTGGCGATAAAGTGTATGCTAAACGTTACTAATTACGGATGCTAGGACTTAGTGAGTTTTTGGACTACCGCTCTCTTTTTGGGCCGCAGTATCTTAATTTAATTTGCGAAGAAAGCTACGTACTTCTGAAGGATGCCTGCCATTCCTAACATGTTTGAGCGCCTTCAATTTCGTATGATACTGTGCAATACCTCTGGTGTGAAATAGTTGCTTCAAGCGCCGCGGTACACTGCGGCGCGGCGCGGCGGGCGGGCAGCCAGCGCTGAACGCGCATTGGCGCCTACAAACCTAACAGGGATACTTCACGCATTGCGCAATGCTTGAAGTATCCCTGTTAGGTTTGTAGGCGCCAGTGCGCCGCCGCTCCGCTTTGTGTTAGGCTCCAATATTTAATCTCGCGGAGTCAGTGTTTTTCAACTCATGACTTTGAAATGTTTGCACACTCTGTATGGATTATTCTCATTTTAATTGATGAAAAAAAATGTGTAGTAAAGGAAAATATAATGTGCGTTTTGTAAATATTAAGGTGATTCCATACAAACTTAAAGATTTACAAAGCACAAGAATTTCTACACAATTTCTTATAGCCTTTTATAGCTGATGGCGAAACAGCATCAGCCAGGCGATAAAGTGTAAAGCCCGGCGATAGGAACTATAGCTCGACTGTATAATTTTTTATCTCTCCGTGTAGAGCCCGGCCATATGATTTTTTCCACTTTCTACAGCCGGCTATATGATTTTCTATCGCCCTCTTCAGTCGGCTATAAGAACTTTTATGGTATTTTGAAACGCAGCTCCTATCGCCAATTTTTACCAGGGCATGTATCCCCCATCCCCAGAACGATTTGGGAGAATATTCATTGCACTTATCTAGCATTGTGAAACTTGGGTGGACAGTTTTCTCTCTGTGTGCAGAAGCAGCGGAGGATTTAATGACAGCTTTTGCCGTATCATTGCCCTGGCGCTCCGCAGCGCCAGGGCTCGATGAGCAAGCAAAGGACTTGTCCTCCTTAATTACCGTACAGCGTTGCCGTCTCATCGAAAAACCGCCCATTTTAGAAAACTGAAAGAGTCTCTGAATGATAATCTTCTCTGCATGAGCGCCGAAAACTCAAGAGCTCTCGGGTCTATAGACTAAGGAAGAATTCCTGGTTATGAGTTTCCGACGTCTGTAGCATTGCTTTATCTCCACGGAAAAGTTTCAAAAGAGCGTAAGTACTCTTCGAGGTGGCCCTGTCGTCCGCGTGACTCTATGATCTCGTAATAATTGAGTTAGGATCTTTTGTAAGCTGAGGTTCGAAGTGGGACGATCGTTCTGCAAGGTCTGAGATGCTCCATCTCTCCAGAGAGCCGGCCAATTCATATTAATTCTTTCTTTATTCAAATTCTGGCTATTACGCGAAATCTTAACTTTTATTTACGCGTAACCGCCCTGCCGCTCCCCGCGTCCGCTAAACTTTCCAAGCACCGAAAGGAGGCTGATGGCTCCCATTTGTGCCCTAACGGAACCAGTTTGTCACGAGCCGGTTCCGTTCGAGTGCCTTGTCCCCAGCGCAGCGGCGATTCTCGTGGGTTGACCGAACTATTTTTCCTCCTTTTAAATCCATCATAAGTAATCGATTCGAAGTTGAGCAGCGGGTTTCGATTCTTTTATATCGACGGTGTAAGTCGGCAATCACATAACTCGGTTTGCGACGTTGCAGACGTCCGATCATACTTTATTTTTCAAACGAGAGACTACTCAATGACAATTCTTTCAAACTGCCGTGATTTTTCTTCTCTGTGCGAGGAAAATTCTGCATGAACTTCAAGAAATGATGTCAATTTGTTCTCCTTTAAAAAAGATTTTCTGACACCGCAAACGAGATATCGACGGTGAAACTACCAAACCACGTATCTCGGTTTGCGACGTCGCAGACTTCCTGTCATACTTTATTTTTTAAATGAAAAACTACTTAACGTCCAGTCTTGAAAATTTCTGTGATTTTTCCTCTTTGTGCGGAGAAAATTCCGTGAAAATTTCGAAGAATGATATTGATTTGGTCTACTTCCAAAAAATAAAATGTGAACGTAGATTTTTAAACACCGCAAACGAGATACGTGGTTTGGTAGTTTCACCGTCGATATGTGATTGCCGACTTACGCCGTCGATATGCGTTTAAATTGGTAAAAGTCAATGTTACCAACTTGCGAGAAGACGAGAGCGCGCGTCCATAATCGGAAGAAATCGGGCCCGGGAAGACGTCGAACTGCTGGTGTGAAATAATATCATACGGAAAGAAACTAATATTTAATCTCTCTATATTTGCAACTCTGGCTATATATTCTAGGCATTAAGGTGTCGAAAAACCTAAGGTTACGTCGTCGGTAGGATACCCTGTGATGAGCCTAAATTGAAATCTTCAACGTATTGCCGATGGATTTGAATGCTTCATTCAATAGCTCAATTTCATCTGTTTTTAGTAATCTCATAGGCTCATTTTTTAATAGCACTTCAGATGACTGAATGATATATAGGCTGAATAGATTAATGGTGACGTGGATCTCGTTCCACCATGATCATCTGACAGCGCTGAAAGATCTGATGCAACCATTGCAATTCTCAAGTATCTTGAATTGCATAATCATTGAATTGAAGGATCTCCTAGTTTATCGCTCGGTGTTCTTTCACGATCTTGGATTGCTTGGACTCGGGTCCTGCTCCAAAGCTATGGAACACGTCTCGTTTGAATTCAAATGGAGGTATTTCTACCAAACGGAATTATGTGCATTAAGACATGAGCCCTGAGACCCATAAGAATATATGCATAACAGGGCTCACTTCATAATGCACATAGTTCCGTTTGACAGAAATACGTCCGAATTAAAGGGAGCTCTCCTTCATCGGATGAGAACTCGAATCTGAATTTATTTTGATGTGCTAACTTTTTGGTCGCATCGAAAAGAAACGTGGATGAGGGGGTTCCAAAAGTAAAAGGTGAACAGAGCTTAGTTTCAATATGTACCTGCTCCAACTATCCATTACTGATTTTAACTTGTTTTTCTCATAATCAAAGAAATAGCTCTTTCTACGTTCTGAACGTGCCCCAACTTAAGACAACCCAAGTAGTACATGCAGATTACAATTAATTGCAATTTCATGGGGGAAAATTTTGTTATTGTGGGTGTTGTGTAAGTATGTCATCTGTTCACAGATTGAATGGGCTCCTTATATTGCAATAAAATCGTAGAAAGTGCAATTTTGCATCGCAAATTGTCCACCTTTCTCACACGTAGAACGCATTTTATTGGTCACTCAAAAGCACAATTTATCGACCATAAAATGTAAGAATATTGCAATTTCATGGTAACAAAAATTGAAAGATTGCATCAAATTCCAAAATTACTTCAATATTCCCGTCGCGCTGTGCTACTTGGGAAGTTCATCGTTGCACTGATAGTTTCTTTTCCTCTTTGTTTCAGCTCTACCCAACTGTCTTCAAAAATCAGCAAATCAAGCCCATGGTGAATTGGACAAAGGGAAACCCGTGCGATTGATCTGAACTGCAAGTTAAATGAAACCATTTACTCTATGTAGAGAAGGAGCCTTGTTGTCAAAAAGCTTTAAATTAAATTCTTAGGTATGTCTCTGCAAGGAGAAGCGTTTCACGAAAAGCTCAGCATGAAAGACATTCAAATTTTTTAAAGAAATCCATAATCATAACGGTTTATGGCGTATGCTATTTTAGAAACGTTTTTTTAAGGAAATACGTTTTTAATTTTCTATTTACCGTGATTAGTGCTCAACATTATCAGTTAGGAACGTAACGTCACAACCCATGTTAGCACAATACGCAGTATTATTGGATCACAAATCAAATCGTCATTTGGCTGACATAAGGGCGTAACTACACATTGAGATGAGCCCGGAAAAGCATTGAATTGTACGGAAGACAGGGTTCATTGCAGAGTGCAGTTACGCCCTTACGTTAGGCAGGCGACAAAGTGTCTGCCTTCTGTTGGCACTAAAATTAACCAGCTTGGCCGCAGTTTATTCTTGAGAAACTTCTGAATTTTTGTCATCGAAAAACCTTAACTCTGAAAAGTGTATGTCCACGCGATAAAGTATCTTTCCCGCTGTAGGGTCTCAATTGATTGAGATAATGTTAAAAAGAAAAAAAATGAGAGAAAAAATCTCTGTATCCATTGGACACTAAAAATTATGCTAAGATTTAAATTGAAGTAGGAGCGTATATTTTTAAACACCACAATCGAAACTTGTGGTTTTGCAGTCCCACAGCCGGTTTTAATACAATCTCTAAACTAGGATCCTCTCAGAAAAAATATTGGTTAGAGCATATAAATAGGGCATCTTTGCTTTCGATGCACACGTATACGTTGGTGTGTGGCATCATTTCAAATTTTTACTGCACTTCTCGTCTTGAGTTGGCGAATGGAAGTTTCATGTTACTGTGATTAACGATAACAGCTAAAGGCTGTATTTAGACTAAGTGGTGCTCTTTTATTGATTTTTCAAAAATGGTCTAATTGAACAATCTAGCTTGGTTTCATCTTTAAAGCTATCAGTTTTCACTTTTAAATCATTACCGGAAACAGCGAAGTTTCCCTCGATTGTCCGTGTGTGGTATAAGAAGTGTTCGCATGATAATCCCCATTCCATTTTCACTCTACATCAACAACTCGTGGGTCTACTTTCATCATATGTAGACAATAACTTTCACAGGCAATGGGTATATGAGGTTTTGGAATTTGAACACTGCTCAAACTGCTCAACACTGCTGTTTCACGCGAAAAACTTAAACTGAAGCTATGTAAATTTTAGAATTAGCTTGCTCATAAAATTGTTTGTTTTTGCGCAAGTAAATTTTTAGTTTGTCTTAATTTCAATGAAGTGTTTTGCTATAATTGCCATAAATACTTGTTGAATCGCAATGAACCACTTGACAATGTGCGAATATGAGAATTATGACTCAAGTTCCCTTATCAAAATTTCACGTGGAACATGATTTGTACAACGAAAATTACTGATAGTAACTCCGATCGAAGATAGATGAGTTAACGTTTTTCGCTGCATTAATTCAAAATTCCTGCTCATGGAAAGAACAACAATCTACTTGAGTAAATCAAACAGCAAACGTTACAACATGAACTATCTCCGTGGTATTATAATTTGGAAACTCCAAACTCGGCGCCCCGGCTCAGCTGGTGCACGTTGTTCACACTTTGTTGGTGCTAAATAAAAACGTTGACAGCTTAGTTACGAATTTATTCCAGAAATTGTTGTTGTGCAAATCATGCTCTGAGTAAAATGTTGAAGGATTATTCTTATCAGAGTGTTGGAATTCGTACCCTGACTTGTGGTCCATTGAAAGAACACGCTGAATGAATAACCGTCCGGGGTTTTTATCTGTTTTCATAAAATTATCAGTTCTGAGTTAAATCGAATTTTGACAATGATAAAGAGGTTATCCTCCGTCATCGTTCTCTGTAGAAATATTGGATACTACTTCCCTAAAATAGGTCAATATGACATTCCGGTCAGTTTCAGTTGTTATGAAAACGACCACGATTTATGGTTAAATCGAAAGATTAATTATACCACCCTATTTTGAGCGCGTTTAAACGTTCAAGCCATCGTTTGAATCTTTGAAAGATCCTGTTTTTATTGTGAATAAGTGTAAGTGAATGTTCATTCGATGTTTTTATTCCTGTTAGGCCATTTATATCCCTCGCGAACCTCTCGAAGGCCCTTTTCCACCCAACTTGTAAATATATTCTTGTTCTTAAAATTCTTTATTTTGTAATAAAGTTGTATCTGTAGAAAATTATAAAATAAATCACATATCAACAGTAATTTTTATTCTTTTTTCGTATCTACCCATGAAAAATGGAAATAATATGAGTCATATTGAAGGTTCATTGCGGCAGGCAAAACTACCTTTTCAAGCAGGACTTCGAACCTTTAAGAAGATAAATAGGTTTGTTTCGCACCTGAGAGACACAACCTCTGCAGGCAAATTTGCACGGAAACTACTTAGGACACATCAAAAATGTCTAAAACTCACTCCATAACGCTCAATTTACGTGGTCCGCACAACGCGTTTTCATATCAACGCGAGCAATTTTATATCCTTTTCCAGCAATCAAGTTTGCCCAAGAATAGATGTAGAATGTAGATAAACTCTAGAAATAAGCACTCTCAAAATTCTAGTACCTATTTTTTTTTTGCACCGAGAACCAGAAAATTGAAGTATTTGTAAACTTTCTCAGAGGATTTTTGCAAGAAAATTTCGGCATACTAAATGTAGCTAAAATTTTCGAATCGAAGTCGGTAAAATTTGGCCGTGGCCCAATAGGTGCAGCTCTAAAGGACAATCAACTTTGAGTTGTAACCTATCCTATTTGACGTGACTCAGCATTTTCGGATTATCCATACCTTTATACCCTCTTTCGATTCAAAAATGAACTTAACTACTGAAAGCTTATTGTTCAGGAGAGCAGAGACTGTTTTCCGTCATAAACTCAAATCCAATTTTCCGACCCGCTCAGATAGATCAGTGGCATGGCGTGAATGATCGATTATCGATATCTACCCATTTGAAGCTATGGTCATGAATCGATTATCAAGGTGTTCGTTGCGAACACCATGTTTATCGATACTTTTATATAGGTTTAAATGGCAGATCAATCGACTTATCGCATAGTACGCCACGCCACTGTAATAGATGTCTCCAGGTAACTTACAAATTGTGACTTTAGTGGACTTATGTATCCCCTTTTCTCTACAGCCGTTCACATCTCAATTTTTTTATAGCTTGTTTAAATGATAATGACAATATCGAACATTTGTTTCTTGCCGAATGCCTTTGTGAGTAATCATCAAGGAGGGAAACAAATCTTAAAGCCTCCTCTCCAATAGACCCTCGTGTTAATGACTTTCTTGTTCACCATATAGTTTTTAGAAAAATCTAGGTGAAGGGAATGAGACAACTGAAATGAGAGCTACGTCTAGAGACGAGACGCGACAAGATAGCAGAAAGCAATTGCAAGAATTAGGACGTACGCCGCAAGCAAGGAAAAATATTAAAGAACGCTTTAATTGCAACAAACTGACTCGCATATTAAAACCCTCCTCGCCAGATTGCGAACTCAAAGATTCTTTCACTCGCTAAATAAGAGTGCACAGTCACCAGATGAAATGGAAAGTCAATTTTCTGTCGTTTGCAATTGGCCCTTGTACCTACTTGCACTGAACTTGCACGCACATGCTTTTATCTACTCCTTAATTTTTCATACAAAAAATGTGACCAAGTGTGTGCCCGTCATGTCTATTTTCTAAACGATAGTGAAATGATAATTTGGACTATTTATGTCAATAGGAACCATGTGCATAGGATTTCCGTGCGCCAAAGTTTCCTTTAGCATAAATACGTCTATTTAAGACCAGACTTGCGGAAGGAGACAGTAAAATGCGTCTCTTATCTTTATTGCGCCTCTAATTACTACCAGGCACTGCCTTCTTTGACGCACCACTCATCCACGTTAGTTTGTTGTCTAATAAGAGCGTCATCGAAGATCAAACACTGGAGACACTGCGCGGCTTCATTGGAAAAGCCCGTTTCAGAGTAACACGGAGCGCCCGACGCCGCGAGCGACGCAACCAACCTTACAAACCAGCGGTTGCGTCTTCGCTGTTATCACGCAGCAAGGTAACGCTCGATTGAGTAGCGAGTCGATGCGATATCTAATTAAATTAAAGCAAAATTAAATCAACGGAGCCAACGTCGCACCGCTATTGTTCCCTTCCACCGTGCGCGTACAAACCTCCTCATCCGAACACCGTCGCACTCCCAAAGTCGCAAAGTTTACAATTCTAGAGATCGAAGACTCGAGTACGAGCGTCATGTTCCCCGATGAAATTCGGAGGAGAGTGCTCAAGTTTGAGTTCAGCCTCCAGACCTCCCTGGAACAAAATTAAGACGCAGATCCTGACGGCTTTACTAGCTTGTTGCGATGATTGTGGAGACAGATCGATTCGTATCTGGACGGGTATTAAGGAATGGTGTCGTCATAAACTTACCCGACGCAATATTGAATGGATAAGTTAATTATGTGCGCAGCCTTAAAGTTTTTTCCAGTGTGCTTGATTATTCAATTCTGCGTGGGTACTGGGTGCTCGTTTTTCGTATCCAATTATTTCTTTTTTATTTTTTAATTTTTTTATGGCAACGAAACTTTCCCTTTTTAAGTTGATATATGATAAAGCAAAGTGAGGCTTACTGCCCCTTCAGGAAATTTCCAAGTACCAAACTTTGAAGTCTTTAGCGTATAAAGTATCTGCAGAGATGACTCACCTTGTCGCCCTAAAAGTAGACAGCCCGTAATTTATATCAGGTCTTTTGTTTTTTTTTTTTATTTTTTGGAGAAATAACCGTTATATTCAATCGATACAAATAGTGACAGTAACTTAAGGCGGTTCATCCCGATTTCTGACGTGGTCGAACTAGCGTGCGACAAAATTCATCGCTTAAGTTTCGCAGTTTTTGACTTTTTAGCCAAACAAAGGACGATAGCCCCTGTGCATGAGTCTAAAGAATCATTCTCGAGCAATGGAAAAATCGACAAAATTTCGAGCGAAAAAAACAGGATCCTTTTTGGGGGAAAACCTCGCATTCAGTACAGAGGTTGATCAGCGTATCAAATGCGAGGTTTTTCCCAAAACGAATCCAGCTTTTATTTCTCTAAATTTTGCCAATTTTTTGGTTGAGGCTGATTATTCAGGCTCATGTGCAGGAGGTATCGTTCCCTGTTTTGGCTAAAAATCCAAAATTTGCTGAGATTTTTTACGTAATTGATGCTATGTCGCACACTAGTTCGATCACGCCAGAAACCGGGACGACTCGTCTTGATCTCTTTCTGTGCTATCAATGCGAATTGACCTAGGTATATTTTACGACTGCCTATGGCGTTACAGTTACACACATATCGTTCATCTCTAACTCACAACCAGATCCACGCCCTGTGTCAACGGGCGCAATGTGTCTTCATTTTCAATGAAGAGGCAATGGATCAGCCCCTATCTCTTAAGGTGATTCGTCAAGCTCAAGTGACATGGTCGAACTGAAGTGCGATTCATCGCATCGATAAGGTCAAAAATCTCGGCAGATTTTGGGAAATACTACTTTATAGGTTTCATTTCAGTCTACTTGGATCTAGCGAGGTTTCCCTGCACTACCAAGTGCCATCCAATGAAATGAACTCTTTGAAAGAAAATCGTGACTGTTTCCTTTAAAATTTTCGGAAGCGCTAGATCAAATGAGGGGCTTGGAGGATACGGCGCATAAGTGCTGTGTTTGCTATTTCAAGAAATGCGTGTTTATAGTTTCGGAATTACATGGATCCTTATGGCGGAAAGAAAGTTTAAATGACTTTCTAATGCTTAAAAATTTGAATTTTGGGAGCAAAGTTTTCCCAAATTATGCATTAAGACTAGTTTTACTTGAAATCATCAATATCTCGATTTTTTCAAAAACTGCACTTATGCGCCAAGTCCCCCAAGCCCCTCAAATATTGTGTGAAATTCTACAATGAAGAGTACGANGCAACAGCGACATAGAAGTTTCGGCCGTAACCGCACTTTGTTTACGTTATCTCGCGGTCGCTGCGCGCCGCGATGCCCGGGCCGCGAGCCGAACCAAAAGCTTTACCGTCTCACGAGCGCTCTACAAAACACGTCTGCACAGTTCGAAAGATCAACACCGAATCTCTTGAAAAAGTACCGAAATTTCGTATTTCTATCATAATAAATGTGACATGCGAAGGTTCCTATAACGTAGTTTCTCGGTACTTCAGCGGAGCACTTAGCAGGAAGGAAGCAGTGAGAATGAAGACGGGCTCGGAGCGACGATAAATTGAGCAAAGAGGATATACTTACGCAGCCCACGTAAGTACGCAGTCACGTGGAATTGGCGACAAATGCAGCTCGACCCCTGAATCTATCAATTTTTACACTCCTTCCCGTTACGCACCATGAGTTTGAGATTGGCTTAACTCTCTGATTTGATTTAATCATCGGGCCGAATCTCATCAGCCCTCGATTTTTCCTTCTCCCCCTCCACTTATTTTTAACTCGGAAAGGTTGTGTAGCGTCGAAAACGGATGGTTGCCGTTTTTATGAGAGCTCTTTTTCTCTGACGGTGCGCGCCGCCACTACGTTTATTAACATTTCTTCAGGACAATTTTTTTTTACACTCTAAATGTTGTAAAATTGCGGCATTCGTCGAGCGCCTGACTGCGGCATTGATAATTAATGCCACAGTCAGGCGCTCGAGTGGCTACAACTCCGTTTGGAAAAGTTCGAATTTTAATTTTTTCCGGACAAGGTGCCTAGAGGTATCTCGCTTATTGAAGGGTATGCACGGCACTGAACTTTTATGCAAAAATGATGGTCGATCACCTTTTAAAAACTTTAAAGTTTCCATAGGCTGTGTTCAAGCTTTAATGTAGGAATCACTACTGTGTTCGCTTTTTGGTGAGTCATGACGAAGTGTATAGAGTAACTCGTTTAGCACACAAGACAGGGCTCGACAACCTGGGGCCAATACCGCCAATCACAAATTAGAGCTTTAAACTGAGGAATCTGCACCTTTTCTAGTTTTAAAAGAGGCTGAAATCCGGAAAATATTCGCCATGACATTCAATTCATCAGTCGCAAAATTAGACATATTTTGAGCGCCTACCTGTAAAAAAGTGTCGAATCCTCGAGAGAGAAGTTTACTCTGCACCCGCTTTTATTGCCTGGATGGAGGAAGTTGAAGAGAATTTGTCTACGAAATTGTAGGAAGTTCGATAAATTTCGAACCATTTTTCTGCAGTCCAAATTAAGTTTCCAATACTCCATGTAGACTCAGTTACCTACAGGTTTTGTCTTCGTGCGATTGCGGGCTGATTATTGATAGACAAAGAAGACATAGGGAGTATGGAGCGATCCTATTGGTTGAAATGTGTGGTTCCTATGGACCAAGGGACTAACTGTAGGGTCTCTGGAGAGTTGCCGTTAGTTAGTCTATTCCTTACCTCCTTTGTCCCTTGTAACCACCCGCTTCCACCAATAGGATCCCTCCATATTCTTTTTGTCTTCTTATCTATAGATTTGCCTATCAGTTTCGATAATCGGCCCTCGGCTGAGGAGTCTGATGCCCCCTCCTATTCGAGAAGCAATTTTGAAAATTACGTATAATAATTGTCTTGTTAAATTTTCTTGGGGGGATAGCGGGTTTTTGAGACTTTTCAATCGATTTTCGTGTTACCAGTCTCAAAAACGGAGAAGTTCCGGGTTGTTTAAAATACTTAAGATCTCTGGATAGGGCCGTTTTTATAAATTTCTGCGCTACCATCAGTGCAAAGGGCTCGGGAGTCCTCCAAGCTCAGGCTGATACATCAGGAGCCTACGATCGTAGGTACCCGAATCCTTTTTACCGTACACGTGTCAACGTGGGAACGGAGTGTTCAGAAGGGAGAGGCAGCCAATTTTCCGGTGTTTACATGTGTACCCACTGAGTAGACAAACAGTTTTGTCACTCTCAAGCTCTGCCCTCCGTCATATCTCGAGGAAAATAGGAGGGAATTGCTTTAATTTATACGCAGGCCGCACCAGACAGCCAGCGCCCCGTATCTCGCGGTGGCGGGCCGTGGGCAATTACAGTTTCTTTATACCTCTCAAGCTGTGTAAATCACGAAATTTATTCTTTCTACCTTTATTCGTGCCCTTCCAGAGTTGGCGATAGAAGGGAAGGGCGTTGGCGTAGATGTGTCAGAAATCGAATAACTAATTTTAAGTTCTCTTCCTTCATCCTAAAAAAAGTCCTTTATACTCGTAAATCAATGGAGTCAGGTAGAATACCAAGGACGAGAAACAACTATCCTACTAGTTGGAGTCTCGGTTTCAGTGGCACATGCGATAAGCAGAGATAGGTTCCGGTAACACTATCGTTCAAAAAAAAACTTGTTTTAATTTGTTAATACATACCCAGGTAAACATCAGTAATAGTCAGCAAGCCCCGAAAGCAGGGATGAAGATTTGTACTTTTAAGGTGCGGTGAAAGCAGGGAGGAAGTCTTTTGCGCAAAAGGTTTACCTTAAAGCGGGAGAAAAGAAAAACTTTGACTAGGTTAGAAAGCTGCAATGCTCCAAAACTTTCTAACATAGTCAAAGGCCCGGACCTTAAAACTGGTACCAGGGCCCGAGTGGGATGTGGCGAGCCTGCATGAGGGCTATTTCCATTTAAATCTTCCGTCACATTCATACGGCTCAATGATACAACTATTTGATCTCTCCGGAATGCGTGAGGTATTACGCCGCATTTGAAGGCGTTTTCAAAACAGCTTAGTTCCGATACCCGGATTATCGTTTTGCATAGTTCATATTCTTTTGTTATATTCCGTACTACTCGTTTATTTTTAATCCTCCTATAAAAACTTAAGCGCATTCATGACTGCAAAAATGTTAACGGAAATCGAAAAGGCAAGCGTGCATGAATGCTTTTTCAATTGTAATCTTCCGTCGCATTTCTAAGGCGCAATGATACAACTATTTGATCTCTCCGAAATGTGTGAGGTATCACGCCGTATTTAAAGGCGTTTTCAAATCAGCCAAGTTCCGATACCCGGATTATCATTTTCCATAGTTCATATTCTTTTGTTATATTCCGTGCCACTTGTTTATTTTTAATCCTCGTAGAAAAACCACCCATTTGCTAAATACAATTCTAGCTGAAGCGCACTTCAGCTATGCATTCACCACTGCAAAAATTTCAGAGGAAATCGACGCGCCCAGCGTGCATGGAGGCTTTCTCCATTTAAATCTTGCTTCACATTCTTACGGCGCAATGATACAACTATTTGAACTCTCCGGAATGGGTGAGGTATCACGCCGCATTTGAAGGCGTTTTCAAAACAGCCAAGTTCCGTTATTGGAATAATCGTTTTGCATAGTTCATATTCTTTTGTTTCCATTTCTAACCTCTTGTTTAATTATAATCCTCCTATAAAAACCACCCATTTGCTAAATACAGTTCTAGCTGAAGCGCACTTACGCGCATTCATGCCTACAAAAATGTTAACGGAAATCGGAAAGGCCAGCGTGCATGAAGGCAGGCCCGCCACAAGGGGGGGGGGGATACTGTGCCCCTAGTATCGGGGCCCGGGCCCCGGAGCGGGCCCGTGTTACCCGTGAAAAACTACTACGAATTCACATGCAACCCTTGTTTCGTAAGAAAAAGTGAAAAATTTACCCTAAAAATTTCTCAAAAGGTGAATAGACTTTAAGAAACACGCTGGGACACTGTAGAATTCTTCTTAAATTTTCAAAGAAGTATACTTCTTGGAAAATTTCTATCTATTTTCAAGATTTTCAGTACAGAGGGATATTTTTAGTAACTGCGTTTCATTTTCTTCCGTCGTCAGATGCTAAGAGTCTCCAGTCTGGGCATCCTCGACTTCAATGGCTCATGGCTCAACTCCCTTGCCATAGACAAACGAAGGAGGAGTCCAGGGGGGCCTGGCCCTCATTGAACTGAAAAATGTATCATATGCCCCCCAAAAAAATAAAAATTTTCCAGATGTTTTCAATGCAACAATTCGCAAGTATTTTGTGCTGAAAGTAGAAAAAATAGCATAATTATTCCGCAGAAATTGATGGAAAAATTCTTCATGGAAGCTTCAAAATGCGTCCGATTAGTCGTATAAATTCTAAAATTTCTCGGGGGATGCCCCTCGGACCCCCCCCCCCCCCCCCCCCCCCCCCC